AAGAGAGAGAAGTAAATTTAGAGGAGTGAATGTGAGCTTGAGGCAAGCTTTGGAGAGAAGGTCTTGGGGAAGTTTGGGCAGTTACCTCACTGCTGTCATTTAGTGGCTGCCTGTTGCAATTCTGAATAGTGAGATGCAGCTGCTACTTCTTTTAGGGGTTTCATTATTCTTAATCAACTTTGCAAATTGGTAGTATTTTTATGACTATTTTTTAAACAAACATTCTTTTTTCATGATTATAGTTTAAGGCTTCTTTCCAAACATCTCCTTTAAGGCTATACCAGGTGCTCACTTTGAATATCAAGTATGTAAAACAGTTTTAAGGGCAAAAGAACAAATATGGTAAATAGTTCAATAATTATTATCTAAACTTAAAAACATTTTTTATTTGATAGGTAAGATTTAGTAGGAGTGATTGAAAGATTTAGAAATGTGTGACCATTTTTTAACATTTAGAAGATTTAAGGAAGATATTTTGTAGAAGTCTCTAATAGGAGAAAATTGTAAATGTTTATCATCATTGATATAAAGATAATGGAAATAAGAGCAGTGCGCTAGAATTGATTGCAAAAGGCAGGTTCTGTAAAGATGAACATTTTTTCGGTCATACATAGTCATGTTGACTCTCCACAGTTGTTGGGCTTGGCAACCCTTGTAGCTCTAAGTGACGCAGTGGTTCCCAGGAAGCAAGTGTGGTAGAGCGTGAGTCGTTACAAACGAGTCAGAATTTTTTTATAAATTAAGTTACTTCTTTGTGCTATCAGATCTGGTCTCTCACTTCTATTACCATAGTTTACTTTTTTCTTTTTTAGTATTTACAACTTGAAAAAAATTAAAAAGAAAAAAAAGACAAACGCTGATTCCCTCTCCTTACTTTGCCTTGCTTTGAGTGAAATGAGATGTGAATGTTCCACCCCATTCCCATCCGCAGTTATACTGGCAACTGTGGCTACGTGTGCTCTGGCTGGGCTCCCAAATACGAGATCAGAGATGTGTATGGGACAGTGGTAGAGCTTGGTTTGCTGGAGAAAGTATGGTGTCTTCTGTAGATAGCTATGCAAAAACACAATTCAGCATTTTCACAGCAGCAGGGGTATTTATTTATTTATTTATTTATTTATTTATTTATTTGCTCTTTAGGGAAGAAAGAAACGTTTGCTTAGTTCAGAAGATGAACTACGGAAGTAATTTCTTTTTATTACTTTTGATATTTTGAGATGTTTACCCTGTTGGGTTGCCCATGTATTAACACCTGTCCTTAGGTTTTAAAGTGAAAGTGATGAATGCAAAGCAAGATCAATACCTAAGCAGAGTTCTGCACGTTGGTGGATACGCAAAAGCTACTGACCTTTGGATGGCATCTTCAGGGAATTCCCATCAGTTGGCTAAGCACTAGTTGTACAGGCAGAGCACATGTTGTTACACTAACAAGAGCCAGCAAGCTCCTTGCTGTCTCTACTTTCTGGTCCAGGTCAGTGTCCCCCAGGTAAATGTGGTATAGGACCAGTGAGCCGTTTTCTTGTTTTGTTGTTTTTAATTTCTAGTCCATCACAGACCAGTGCTTCTATAAAACACAATAAAAATTAATGACTAGGAAATGAAATTTAAAAGATTTATAAAATAAGCCCCAGTTTTAAAATTATTTTTAAATTCAATAGTTACAAAAGTATGCTGTTAAATTGCCTTAAAATTTTCTAATCTTACATTCTGAGACTGGAAACACTTATGTCCTCTCGAGTCAGTAACTGTTTTTGGACGAACACTGACCCATGGGTCATGCTTGTTGCACTGGTCCCTTTGCAAGGGGGAAGGAGTAACAGCTACCCTCTCTTATCTCAGGCTAAATGTACTGAATGTACATCATGCTTTTGTGCCCACGCGCAGTTATTACTTACTCTTTTCACTTAGCCTGAATGTTCTTTCTTCGCCATCTTCAGCTGTTGAAGTCCCATCAGTCTTCAAAATGTATTTCAAATGCCATCTTTTGATCAAATCTTTTATGCCCTCCCACCATTATCAACAACAGCTGGGTTTGATCTTTCTCTCGTCTTTTTTGATATTTGTAGTCTGCCACGTGCCGTAATTATAAGAAGGCAGTATAATGGCATGGGTAAGGTGTTTGGGCTCTGGAATCAAACAAACCAAGACTCAAGCTCCAGCTGGGTAACCTTGAACAAGTTTTTAACTTCTCTGTTGGCTCATCCATATAAGATGCATCTGAGTATGGTGCCTATCCTAAAAGGTTGTTAAAATTTTTAAATTAGATAATCCATGAGAAGCATCTTACATAGGAACTGGCACATACATAGGAAGCTTTTCATTACTGTAACTGCCATTATTATTTGTTCCTGGTTTATCTCCCATCCTTTATTAAGCACAGTGCCTTGCTTAATAAATATAGGTTGAATTTTTACATGTTTGTGTCATTTAAATGATGCAAACAAGCCATGGAATAGAATCCAGAAAGAGAGTACTGGTAGTTGTAGAGGTGATGATGGTTTTCAGACTGAACTGGGTGTAGGGCCAGCATTCTGACCCTCATTGGTACAGGCCCTGACACGTGCCCACGGGCAACAGTGCCCAGTTGACTGTAGAGACTGTAGGGGGGGAGCACTGGGACACAGAGCACAGAAGGCAGCCTCAGGTCAGCTTACATAGGGCCTTAGAGGCCTCCCTGAGGTGGTGTACTCCCAGAGGTGGTGTGAGTATCAGGTGGGATCTGTAAAGTCCTGCTTCCTACAGAGGGTGATAAAATTTTGAGATGGAGGGAACTGGAACCCAGGGACCCAAGGAGGAAACTGGGAGACTGATGAGATCCCGTTAACCTAAACTAGTATTTCCTAAACTGTTCCTCTGAACATTTCCTCCTGATGTTGATTAACGCTCCCTTGGGACGTGGGGGTCTGTTACTGTTTGAGAATTGCGCTATGTCTAGCTCTCCCCTTGGAGACTGACCATGCTTACTGACTTACTGACAGGCCTGTACTGAGAAAATCTGTTTAGACTTCTGTTGAACTAGTGTTTCCTAGACTTAATTGGCTACAGAACTTTTTTCATGAAACATGCCTATAAACATCTCACAAAATACAGTTTAAGAAACCATATCACAAACATTCCTAAACCAGAGGTATTGTAAAGAAAGAAGTAAAATTTGGCTAGTTCTCAGTGCTGACCAGATCCTAGGACATTGGTGCAGTCGGGCAGCTGCCAAACAGGAACTCCGTTGGCCTGCACTGCTTGGTATGAGGTGGAATTACTGTGAGCAGGGCTTTGGCAGGACCTCCCCAGTTAATTAGGTTCAGAATGCCAGGTTGTTTACATGCCACCACGTCTGTCTCTTCTGTCCTTCATGAGTGTCTCCACAAATGTCCCATGTTGCCACACCTGCTCTACACACCTGGTGATTCCCAACCTTGGTGAATTGCAACCATCTAATGGGTCTATTTTTTGTTGTTCTTCCTTTATACTTTTGAAAGATTTATTATGCCATATGTTATGTATGTAAAGGAAGGTGAATGAGAATTAGTTTGCTTAAATGACAAACCTTGAAAAATTTAGGAGTACTCTTGACTACCAAAACCAGGGTTGGGATTCATTGAAGTATGTGTCATACCATTTTTGCCTTCATTGAACAAGATTAAAATTATTAGTACTATGGCTTAAAGTTATCTTGCTGAGTTATTTATGCCTGGATCAATATAAATCTTGCATACTTTGAGAAATTAATGCATTTTTAAATCTTAATACTAACTACTTAGTCACTTATTTAATTGATTTTAATGCTTGTACCATAAGTTACTTTTTAAAAAATAAGATGAACTGATTGTGGGCACGGTTGGCACTTAATAGTTGCTCAACAATTTAAAGTAAATTATGCACTTTTTTTCAAGGATAATTATGCAGGGAATATATGTAGTGCTTATAACCTGATATGTAGTAACACTATATAAAGTATTTGCTGCTATTACTGTTGTTATTATTATAGTTGTTGAGGATTGAAGTTGTTACTTCCCACTCTTCAAAATATTGGGTTGGCCAAAAAGTTCATATGTTTGTTTGTTTGTTTGTTTTCGTAAAACAAAAAGGCACATTTTTCATTTTTGCCAATACCTTTATTGATTTGGATATTTTGAGTAGGCTGGCCATCTCCCACATGGTATGATGATTGTTCTCAATTAATGTCTTGATTCGATCACTACCCACTTCAGGGCTCTACCCAACCATGGAGCATTGTCCAAGGAGAAATCTGTAGCATGAAACTTTGCAAACCACTTTCAACACATTTGATCAGTCACAGCATTTTCTCTATATATACACTGTACAAATCTTTTTCTTTTTGCTTTTTTATCTCGCTTGAAATAATAAAGCATAATATGCTAAAAATGTTACATATCTTCTTCCAACTTCAATATTAAAATGGCTTCACAAATATCCGCTAATTTTGATAATTTTTATTTTAAATGCATGCTGATATGAGAGCTGCCACATAGTCTAACAAAGTTGTTTTGAATGATGTTAAAGGCAGCTAAGCACTACTGGAGTCATCTTATGGGGAAAAAACCAAATGTGCTTTTTGGCCAACCCAATAGTTCACACTTGATAGGTAGACATTTTTCATTGAAATTGCAGTAGCATTTCACCTACACAAAAACTCAGGAATTAGAGTTCATTAGGTTTCTGAGTAGTTGATGTAAATCATTTTGACCGTAATAAATTATTAATACATTAGAATCCAAAGTCTTTGCAGATTTAAATAATATCCAGCTACTTGTTATTGTATAATTATTTTACTTAACATCATACTTAGGACACAGTGCTATTTAAATATTTCTTGTAAGATTACTCTTAAATTAAGCCTTCCATACCATACATATCCATATTATAGCAAACAGGTTTATATATATATATTTTAGTTTTAAAGCGCTTGTTGTAATTTTTTTATCCTTTTTTGGAAGTTCAAATCTATAAATAACTAATTTTTTCTGCTTCATTTTCTCCAGCTTACTGAAACAAATTCAAGTATCAAGTGCTTGGACTCCATGTGCTGTTTCTCAGAAGGAGAGACAGCGTGCGCATCTGTTGGAAGAATGCTGGAACGAGTAATAGGAAGATGTAGTCCGACCCATGTCAGCAGGTGTGAAATCTCTCTAAGTAGCCTTTGCTGCAGATGATGAGTGTCCTATAAACTGGAACAGACGAACATGCATCTCTAGATACCTAATAAATCAGCAGCTGGTTTTACCAACTGAAGCAGGATGTATGCTGTGTATTAGCACTCTTTGATGATAGATTTCACTTTGTGGCTTTGGGTGAGGGTTTCTTTCACTAACAAAGGAAAGAAAGCACTTTTGAAGAGACTTGTCATCTAATGAACAAAAATATTTTCTTCAAAATCATTCTAAAATGTGGTGAATAGGAGTATGTATATGGTACTCTTACTTGGTTTTTATATAACTTTTATACCTATACTACTACTGTTTTATTTTCTATATATTTTGGGGTTTTTGTATTTACAAAATAATCTACACATAATAGTAAAATCAAAGGATTTTGCTTTTCTTCCTCTTCATCTGTATTTTCTAGTCAGTCATTTGAGACTTTGAAGTATTTCTAAACACAAAAGGCTTCTCTCCTACCCTTTTTATCTCTGTAATGAGGTTTTAAAATGAGTTGTGTTTTTTAAGTTTTTACTAGGTATTTATGGTCTTATTAAAAATTGGTAAGCTGGAACAGGCTCTTTAAATATGATTTGTTAGAATCTTTGCATTTTTGTCCCCTCTCAAATCTATTTCTTGAAAGATTTACCAGAGCTTGCTTTTGTGGTTCTTAACAAACAATACAATTTTGGGGTATATTCCACTTTAATTTCTTCATACATTTCCCCATTATTTAGGGGATGTTATTATTATTTAGGAGATATTAAGGAGTAGAAATACCTTCACACTTTGATGTTCTTTAGGTAAATGATATATTCTTAACAACCAGAGCAGCAGTGTACTGGCCCTGGCATGCAGGGTCACAGATGCAGGGTAGACAGTGATTTCCATTGTCCGCGGCTACTGTGGGAACACTACCACTTTCTGTGTGTGCCGTGCCTTGGAGCAGGCTGGAAAGTGTGCTGTGAGCAGGAAATAAAGGGTGGAGGAAAAAGTGCTCTAGTGTTTGGTTAGCTTTGTGTTTTAAAAATGTTGAGTGTGATATCACTCACGTATGATAAAATTCAGATAACTTTTACTGGTGAACTTGTTAGTTCCCACTTTGCCTTGAGTTATGGCCATGTCTTTATGGTATAGTTGCCTTTGTAAATAGCATTTTTATGTTAATGTCTGTGGTTTTAGTCCCATTTATTGATCATAACGTAATCAGAAATATCTTTGTAATGTTGTAATACCATTTTGTAGCAATTTTATTCTACATAAAAGAATTACTATGGGCAGTTAAATTTATTGGGACTTATATATTATGACTTACACAATTATATTATAAAATGCATTATGAGAAAGCAGCTCTGTCATGTACCAGGCCAACAAGTTTTTTAAAAGAAGTTCCAGAAGGCCCTGATGTAACCATGATAGCTGCATTGCACAAAACTAAGGTGGGAGTTAGAATTTTAAAAGTATTGTAGAAATTCACAGAATTTTTAAAATTTCTACTTCAACAGGAAGTTCTCTTTAGTGACAGTATACATCTTCTCTGTTACACACAACTAGAATTTATTTTAAATGACCAGAAAGTATTTTCTGCTTTCTGTACACTCCTGTTTTCTTGGTGTCAGTGAGTCAGGTGGTATGTCTCCACTAGTGGAACATAGCCATGCCTTCACTGCGTTATCCCTCGTGCCCCTGCCCCGAACGTCATGGGGTTTATTTCAGCCTGTCTTCTCACAGGTGCCCATTGTCATCTGTACTCATGTTCACTTAGAATTATACCACATTTTCTGTAGGACTTCATTTTTTACTTTCCTAATAAAATCTTTAACCAATTAATATCTTATTTGACAGACTATAAATATCTTTCCAGTTTAGGTCCAAAATCTAAGGTTATAATTATCAGTTACTACTTTCATTATCTTTTTTCTTCAAATGAATAATCTAAAAAGTACTTTGAGATCTGCTCATTTTTTTCTAGTGAATAAAATCATCCAGTATGCAAAACCACTTGGTGCTTTTCAAAGGGTGATATGAAAATCGCCATAGATCCATTAACATCATATTTAAACTCTGAAGTTACTTCGATATGTAGAGTTTTGTTTGTGGTTTTTGTATGTAATTATATTCGTGAAATACATTTGGCATTCCTGTGGGGTTTGGGCGCAGCCTGTATGTATTCTCCATTTCTCTTCCAACAAGGTAGGGCATGGCTGGCCCCTCTGCTACCAGATGTAGAAGCCCCTGGCCTGTTCCATTAACATGTTAAACGTAAGAGAGCATCATTAGTGCTTTCATATGATAGATTTCTCTACTGATTAAACTTTTACTGTCCAGGCATAAAAATTGTACTTACATTTTATTAATTGGTATTGTCAAAGGAATATGCCATATTGCAAGCTTGGTTTCAAAGGTAGCATTGTGGTGCTATATCAAGGACATACCAGGTTGTACCCTAAAGGGCTGTACTTCAGCAATAAATGATTTCCAGTGTTTATCAACAGCTACTTTATCCAAATCAAAGCCATTTTCTAAATAGGAAGGAGTTAATAGTTGATATGTAATTCAGGTATTTAATGTCCTGTCAAATACGATACTGAACATGTGAAAGCACGTGTGTGCTTTGAAAAGATAAAGAATGAAGGGAGACTTGCCTAAGGAGATTTTTCTGTGTAAGCAGTGGTTGGAGAGAGAACAATTTGTGTAACATGTGGGCAGCTTGGGAGTGGAAACTTCACTCCAGATAATTGGGGTGTTCGTACTTCCATTTTATCATACATGTCTGATTAGACTTTTTTTGCACAGATACTTACTCTAAGCAATGTTCATAGTTCCATTTTATTCATATATTTTACAAATACTGAGTGCCTATTATGTACCAGGTGTAGTTCTAAGTACTAGAGAGATGGTAGTGAAGCCCTTCCTTAAACTAAGGTGAATATTGTTTAAGGTTTCCTAGAAGCCAGTAAATTCTGTTCGCCATTGGTATGGTTGTTGCTTGTTAGTTTTCCTCTGCCAACTTTGTAAAATGTCTAGGTCCAAACCTCATTATGACTGCTCACTTAATCAATTTAAATATGAACTATATACAGAGTCTCTTAGAAAACCGCAGATGTTTGATAGAAGTGAACTTGGACCATTTTAAGTGCTAGTGTCTAATAACATCTTTGTTTAAGGAAAATGGGAACCCTAGAAATCTACATAAAATATAGTTACTGTTAAGTTCTTTTAGTCTTCTAAGAAAAGCCACCTTTGACTTGGTAATACTAATATTGTCCGTAAAGAAGGTTAGACCGTTTCAAGCATGGCAGGCCATTTATGATCATGAGTCACTTAAGCTTAAATTAATACAGCTTCAAATAAAGTGGTATGTAATGAGTTGCTTATGGGCTCTATCATTCAGACAGTAGTTAATATTTCCAGACCAGTAGGGGATCATTTGTTCATAATTAAATGAGAACCCTAGTGACTTACAGGTGTCTTTGATGCCTACTGAATAAACCATTCTCTACACTCAAGCTAATTATGCTAAAATCTTTAGAATAGAATTTATAGCTAAAAAGAAATAAATTATGAATATATTGCTATTCCATTCCAAAGCTTTTGGTAAGTGCGGTTTTTGTTTGTTTGCTTCTGTAATACAGCCTAGTTGCTTTTCAGGAAAATTGAATATGCATAACTCTTAATAACATACTTATTTTTATATTGAATTAAGATTTTAAGAGCATTGTATGCTCTGCTATCTATAGAAAATGTTTTAATGCTAATGAACATCTAAATTTTGGCTATTGTTTTTATATGATGACTAGAGCATTATTTTTCCCAAGTTTTTGTGTAATATAAATGGAATGTTTGGTCAGTCAGTGCTAGTATGAAGAACTTCTTTTCAGCATTTAAAAATGAATCTGATTATTTTAATACTCAAATTGCATTTTGATCCTAAGTTTTAGAGTATATCTTTTTCTCAATTAAAACATAGGTCTTGGTGAGCCAAACTTTTCTCTTATTGTTACTTTAGATCATGGAGTGCATCGGATCCTTTCTATACCAACGACAGGAGCATCTTGACTCTCTCCACAATGGACTCATCTACTTGTTAAAAGAGCAGTCAGTGCTTTGTGGGAGCCCTTTCAACTCCTTGCCTAAAATGCAGTGTGTTCATCCTGGTAATGGCCACACTAGCTCTGCAGCATTACTTTCTGAAATCTCTGCGGTAGTTCGTACCAGCTCAGAGTTATAACGGCAAACAAACAAAAAGCATTAGCATGAACCACTCTCAGCCCCTTTAAATTAAATCTGACCACGTTTAAAATTTGTGAATAAAGGGACATTTTCTGACTTTCTCTGGGATTCCCTTTGCTTACGGGACTCCTAATGGCATTTCAGCCTCTTGCTAAGGCCATCATATTTTAATATCAAGGTAGAAAAGAGAAATAATTTCTAGTTAATTGTATTTTTGAGTATTAGCTTAGTTATTGAGTCTTCTATTTAAATCTGCTTCTGTAAATTATGCTGAAAAGTTTGCCTTGAAAACTCTATTTTTTTATTAGAGTTATATTTGAAGCTTTTCATGGGAAAAGTAAATGTGAATAGTAAGGAGTTTTGTTTCCTAAGTGACCCATGTTGTTAATTCGTCAGTGCTTTCTAAGTTCATAGAGAAAATTAGGAGAATGTGTTTGTGTTCTTTACTGCACTATGGGTAGTAAACATACACCAATACCAAACTTAATGTACTGGAACACAACCAGTAAAATTAACTGTACACATCAAAGGGTGTATCTTTTTTCATTCATACATCAGAAATCCAGTCCACCAAATTTCAAATTGATGTTTACTAATATTTCTATGACAGAATATAAAGTGGGTAAATTAGGTACTAGTAGCATATTATTATTTAATGTGTTTATCTTCGGATCTTTTGCATGCTGGTTAATATATTTAAATTTGCCTCTATCTGAAGGCTCTGTTTATAGTATTTTTATGACATTGTTGTGAAGTTCAACTGTATCAATAAAAAAACAAGTTTGGACAGTATTTAAATATTGCAAATACTTTTAATTTTGCAAATCAAAACATTAGGGTAATTAATTAAAAAAGAAGAGCCTCTTTCTGTGGCTTTAGAGTTGCTTTTGCCTTTCAGTTGGCTAGATTCTAGAATAGAGGATCTCAGGCATGAATCCTGTCATTCTTAGGTCGGTGTGCATTGTCTAAGTTACAGCAGACCACCACAGTAAAGTGAGATCTGCCCAGTGTTTCACTGGAAGGTGTAATTTCAGATATGTATAGAGAATGTAAATGAAACAAAGTCTAAAATGCTAAATTGTATGGGGTAATGGCAGTGCTAAATTAAAATGCTAAGAATGATTAATTAGAATATATTCAGTATTAACTCACTACACTTGAATACTTAATTTTCATCCTGAATTTATCATGTAGATCCATTGTTTGGCATTTGCTTTGATTAAAAGTAATATGTTTTAAGAACTACTACCCAGCCCTGTACATACACATTTTAAACTGTAGGGAAATAGTTAAATAAGGTTTTGCCAGAGTTTTCCATACAATTGAGAATATAATTCCTTTTTGTAGATTTTTGTGCAACCCTCCATCCCGTTCTCATTTCATAAATATAAGACTTCACCTTTTTTCACTGGTAAACTCTTTTCTTGCTAGTATAACCTTTGTCTTTTTTTATAATGCAAGGATATTGGGTTATGAATTTCAGCCTGATACTAATTTTCATAAATAGCCCATCTTTAACTTAGATATTCCAGAATTGCTTTAGAAAGATCCTGTCATTCTGGAAATATGTTAAAAGGATATAATAAAATGTATAATGTGTGGTACACTCACCAATTCATGTTCCAGAAGAGGAAATATTGCAAAAAATATTCAATGGAGTAGTTTAGTGGAGGATATTATGGAATTTGCTTTTCTTAGAATATCTTACGAAGTGTTCACATGATAAAATGACATTCAGTAAGCCTGCATCGCGCCTACCTTACAGTGTGTACTTGCCATCAGCTAAACTGACTGCTGACACCAGGGAAGGACTGCACAGCCGCCCCGCACTCTGCGACCACCTGCAGCAAGGCAGGGTCAGCTAACGTGCATGGTGCTCAGGGTGTGGTGGATGTAATTTCTGCACTCCTGTTTGAAATTGTTTAAGAACTTATTTTAAAAAGGTAAATGCTTCCACAGACAATGCTCATCCTGCTCTGTTCAAAACCTACTCCATTTAGAGGAAAATTATCTTGCAATTGTAAGAAAAGGGTTTTCTTTTCCTTAAGAAAGGACCAGTGTTGTCTGTAAGCTTCCAATTGTTTTCTAGTGCTAATACTCATACTGTAAAACAAAATTTTCCCTTTGCATATTTAAAGTCTTTGGAAATACAATGTTGATCATTAACTTACTCTCGTCTGCCAAAACCAGAGTAAGATGCTACCTGTGTTATTACTAATTAATTAAAGGTCTCGAATCTGTTTTCCTCATTTGCTTGCCATTGCCTCGTCTAAGGCTGTAGCCCTGAAGACAGCAGCAAGCACCAGGTCAGTTTCCAGAATTGCCCGTCAGCTGCACTCTGTGACTCAGCACCCTGCCTCGCTCGGCATGAGGCTCAGCCTGGAGGGTAGCAGAGTGTGGGCCAGGAGAACTACAGTATCCAGGTTTGCTGTGGGGGAGAATTTAGTTTGAATTTCTTTTAAATACCCTTCTCCTTGGATCTTCATTTCCATGCTGTTCAAAGGCTTCCCAGGCCTGACCCAAATTCTGGCCCTGTCCTTGTTAGAGGATGGAACAGGCACATCACCCTGTTTGGAAATAGCTCTCCTCAGACCAGGGTCTTTTCTGCATAAGATTGTGAAATCGGGCTGTTGGGTGTGTGTCACAAACTTGAGACCCCTATCTGATAGACAGGAGTCAAGGCCAGTAAAAAGTTTTTAAGACCAAAAGTTTTTGAAATACACTAGTCTGAAAGTTATTGGGGTCTGTCTGGAAGGAAAGGGAAAATTTTTTATGTTTGTATCTTTCATGTAAAGATCAATTTGGGGTACGATGTAAACAGGTATCAATGAAACTAACACACCAAAGAGATATGTAAAGCATGTTGTATTAATTTTTAATCCCCTTTTAGAGATGTTTTTATTCCTGTCCTGAATTGAGTTACCTATTTTCATAAAAATGGAACATTATTAATGTGCTGTTTATGTGAGAAAACTTGAATGATACTCCTACAAAAAGTGCATCATAATTAATGATATGTTTGTAATAATGGCAATTGTTAGATTTTTATGAGGAATCAGTAGTTGTAAATACTATAGCAACACTTAGCTTCAAATTTTGGACCTCAGACACTGTGGCGGTCTAATATAATCCTATAAAAATTTTATGCATTTTTAGTAAATGTAGTATACTTATTGTACAGTTCTCAGTAATTTTTTAAAGTTTATGAAATTATATTTATCAAATAAAAATTTTCCTATGTAATTAAAAGTGTTTTTCTGTCCTTTAAGCATGTTAAGCCTCTCTGCTCATTGCAACCAGCACGGCCAAATTTGTTTTGAGTTAGATTTAACGGCATTTGCCCTCCATTACAGTACAGGGACACCATTATGTCTTTGACTGACTGCATCTTTCAGAAATCTAGTTCTTTGGTTACCCAGGTTTTACAGATCTTCAGTACCACTCCTGAGAAGGGGCCTGATGGACACGCACCACCTGTAAAGACCAACACGCTTCAGCTAGGACTTGTGTCATTCTTGAATAGCCAGCCAGTGTGAATTCGGAAACGCCTTGGTCCATAGAAAATGTGTTATCTTTAAAATATGTGATGTAATGTATATTTATATATAAAATATTTTAACCTTCTAATAACTATTATTATTCGTAATACTTCCTCAGTTGCCAGTGAAAACCCACAAACGTTTAATTGCTTAACCAACTTTTGTTAAAAAGGTAAGCTGCTATCTTCGCCCAAGTGTCAGTGTTTCCAAAGACTGACAGTGTGTGATATATGTGATGTATTTTTATTTCTGAAATGAATAGCCTAGAGAAGTCATTTATCTAACTAAGCATCTGTTTTTATTTAAAAAGGAGTTGAGGGGTTAGACATTCTTTAGGGTAACTTCAGTCTTTAGCTTTCATTGTACAATATGCAATTAATAGATTTAAGACAAAAACTAAAATTTTATGCAGCATTTCACTGTAAAATTTAGTGAATTCATAAACAATTTAAGTTTTGTTTTCAAGTGTGTCCTCCTTACCTCTTTTTTGGAATGACTCAAAGGACAAAGCTATTGTAAATGCAGATAAGTCCACGTGTCTCTGAACAGCTTTTTGGGGAGTGGCACAGGGCCTTCTGATAAATCAGACTTTTTTTTAAGATTTTATTTACTTATTTTTAGAGAGGGAAGGGGGGGAGAGAGAGAGAGGGAGGGAGGGAGGGAGGAAGGGGGGAGGGAGAGAGGGAGAGAAACATCACTGTGTGGTTGCTGGGGGCCATGACCTGCAACCCAGACATGTACCCTGACTGGGAATTGAACCTGTGATGCTTTGGTTCACAGCCCAAGCTCAATCCACTGAGCTACGCCAGCCAGGGCTGATAAATCAGACTTTTTAATACTAATATTTGAGGTAAATGGTCTGTATTCATATAAAATTTATAGGCAGCAAAGTGCATAGATGTTAGGATTATATTCTGTCATTTTTGACAGATCTGTACACCTGTGTGATCATTACCCCAATCCAGATAAAGAACCTTTCCGTCGTCCCAGAAAGTCCCCCTGTGCCACTTCCCAGTGTATTTATTATTCCTGTCCTGTCCTTGGCAACCATTTTCTGTGTTCTTTCATAGGTAAGTCTTCCCTGTTCTTGAATTTCAAAAAAAAAGTGTACAAAGTGTTTACTTTTGTATGTGACTTTGTTACCCAAAATGTGTGAAATTCATCCATGTTGTTACATATATCCATAGTTGGTTTTTGCTGGTCAGTGATGTTTTATTTCATGAACATCCCACAATTTATCCTATCTCTTATTTGTGGACATTTGGATTATTTATAGTTTGGAGTAGTTACAAATGAAGTTAGTATGAACATGCTTTGTGGACATATTTTCATTTCTTTTATGAAATAACCAGTAGAATTGCTGGGTCATAAAGTACATTTATGTTTAATGTTTAATTTTATAAAGAACTGACAAAAAGTTTTCCAAAATGATCGTGCCATTTTATGTACGTTATGTGCCATTTTGTGTACGGTTATGACAATTCCAGTTCTATCCTGTGATTTTCATTTGCATGATGACAAATGATGTCTAACTTCTTTTTATATGCTTATTGACAGTTTGTCCTTTTTTCCTGAAATGCATATTCACATCTGTGGCCATTTCTTATTTAAGCTGCTAGTCTCATTACGGAATGGTTGGAATTCTTTATATAAAGATGTCTTTTGCCAGACATACGTCTTACTAGCATTTTCCCCCAGTCTGTGGCTTACCTGTATGTTTTCCTAATGGTGACTTTGGGGAGCAGAAGTGCTTCATTTTTGATGTAGTCCAATTTCTGCCTTTACGGTTATGTGCTTTTTGTGTTATGTCTACCCCAAGGTCATGGAGACAATATCCTGTTTTCCTGAAAGCAGCATAGCCTTAACTTCCACATTTGTCTGTGATCTATCTCAAATTCATTTATGTATATGGTGTGACGCAAGGATGAGGATATTCCTTTCTCCTAATCCCCATAAGGGTATCTGTTTGGTTTAGTCTTATTTGTTGAAAATACTCATCTCCAATTAATTTGTTTGGTGCCTGTTAATAGACTTTATAAATGTGGGTCTGTGTCTGGACTGTTTTCTACTCATTTGTCCTTACCAATAGCAGACTGTCTTGATTACTATGGCTTTGTGCTTAGCTTTGAAATTAGGTAGTGTAAGTTCTAACTCTGTTGTGAAGATTGTTTTGGCTATCCTAGGTCTTTTGCATTTGCATATAAATTTTGGAATCGTATCAATTTCTCAAAGAAAAATCCTAATATTTTGATTTGGATTTCTGTGAATCTAGAGATGAGTTTGGAAAGAACTGAGATCATGTCAGTATTGGGTCTTCTCATCTGTGAGCATGATATAACTGTCCATTTATTTTGGGTCTTCTTTAATTTCAGGAGCATTTGGTAGCCTTCAGTGTAGTCCTACTGTGTTAAGGACTTTTTATGTATCTGTGCTTATGAAGGAAATAGGCCTATAACTTCATTTTCTTATAATGTCTTTGTCAGGTTTTGGTGTTTGGATTATGCTGGACTCATAAAATAATTTGGGAAGTGTTTCCTCTTTTTTGGAAGAGTTTATGTAGGGTTGGTATTCGTTCGTTCATTTTTTAATCCTCACCTGAGAATTGTTTATTGACTTTAGAAGGGGAGGAAGAGAGAGAGAGAAACATCGATTGGTTGCCTCCTATATGCGCTGAGGCATGTATAAGCATCAGACCACACACTGTGGTGTCCGGAACAGTGCTCCAGCCAACTGAGCCACTGGGCAGGGCTGGTATTACTTCTTTTTCTAATATGTTGGTGGTATTTACCACTGAGGTCATGGTGGGGGCCTAGGGTTTATATTTGGGGATATTTTGGATCACAAATTCAATTTCTGAAAAAAAAATACAGGATTATTCATATTTTCTTTTGTCAAATTTGGTAAGTTGTACCTTTCAAGGAATTTGTCCATTTCATGTAATAGCCAATATTTTTGACATAAAGTTGTCCAGAATATTATCCTTATAATGACATTGGGATCTGTAATGCTTTTGCTTTCCTGTTTTATATTGACTGCTTCTTGTTTTACCTGACCAGTTCTGTTAGGAGTTTAATCAATTTTAATCTTTTTAAAGAACCTACTTTTCACTTGGTTAATTTTATCTATTGTTTTCTATTTTATTGCCCTTTGTTCTCATCTTTATAATTCTATTTTAGTTTTAATTTGCTTTTTAATGTGTAGTTGATTTTAATTCTATTTTATAATTCTATTTAATTCTACTTTATAATTCTATTTTAGTTTTAATAGACTTTTTAATGTGTAGTTGATTTTAATTAAACTCTTTAATAAAGGCGTCAAATCTATACATTTCCCTGAGATATACTCACTGCCTAAGGTGCTTCTCACAAATTTTATCTTATTCTTGTTGACATTCGACATTTGAATCAAGAGTACTTTATTTTTTTTATGGTTTCTTTTTGGATCCCTGGATTAGTTAGAGGTGTTTTCTTTGGTTTCTAAATATTTGGGGGATATACTTCTTCCCCACTTGTGTACCTTTCACTTTTTTGTCCTGACAGTGTTAGGCAGGATTTCCAATACTGTGTTAAACATTTGTGGTGACAGTGGCTATCTTAATCCAGTTTCTTAAAGGGAAGATCTGAGGTTTGTCCATGTAGTGTGATCCATGCTGTAGGGTTTGGATATATATAACTTCCCAAATATTCCCTTCTTTACTACTTTGTATATAGTTACTTATATATAGGCATTATCTTCTGCTTCAGCTAAAGTTATCTTCTCCTCTGTTAATGTAGACAAGTTTATTGATGGATTTTTCTGTTGTTGAACAATCCTTGCATTACCAATACAGAGATATCTGATCAGATCACAGGGGAGGAACATTGAGGGACCATAGGAAGAGGTTGCCCAAGGCAATGGTAAACAGTTTAGGACTGGACTAGCTGAGAAGCTGAATGCCTCCAGAGCAATGGAATAAAAAGAGGGCTGAGACCTCTTACTCAAGGATGCCTGGATAATGGTGCTGCAGCTGCCCGAATTTCCCAACGGACGGTATTTAGAACTGGAAGGAACTCCAGGTGCAGCCTAGGATCAGGTTGGCCTGGCAGAGGGTGGCAGGGCTACTTCTTTGGGTGTTCCATAGGGGACGAGCTCTGAAGCAAAAGCCTGCCATTCTTCCAAAATTATGTAGCTTTTGTATCTTGTTTTAGTTTGTAAACTAACCCTATAGAAATGATAATTAAAACTGTAACTGAAGAGTTAAGAGTTTAGCCTTGGTAGTCTTAAGTGACTAATGCATGTGGAAAACTGATATTCCAAAATTGTGAAGCTTTTGAATGAAGACTCCGTTCTTGTTTTTTTAAAGATTTCATTTATTTTTAGAGAGGGGAAGAGAAGCAGAAAGAGGAGAGAAAAATCAATGTATGGTTGCCTACTGGTCACCTGGCCCGCAACCCAGGCAGGTGCCCTGACTGGGAATCGAGCTCTCAATCCACTGAGCCACACCAGCCAGGGCACGACTCCTTTTCTTTATCACCAAACCTTTGCCTCTAGAATTTTGCCTAGAGGGTGGCAGCGGGCAGCAGGGGCCCACTCACTGTCCGATAACATTACTGAAACAAATCCTGTTTCTTCATAATGTATTATTTTTAGCACTATGTTGGATTCATTTAACTATTGCTTTATTTAAGACTTTGCATCTATGTGTAGAAACAAAGTGGGCTTACA